GGTTGTGGTCAAGGAGGATATGCAGAGGTGCCTGCAAGACACAAGAGGGCGCTTGGGATAGAAGAAGAGGAAGAAGCCTTCCTGTGCAATGTTTCGAAGCTGCTATATCAGCATGTTTGAATGCACTTCGTGCTGGTGTTACTAACCCTGGTGCAATCAGTGCTTTATGACGATTAGTCAAAGTCAAATGTATTTATACAGCACATTTAAAACAGCAACTGTTGAGCAAAGTGCTGAACATTTAAAATTAAAAATAATTAAAAGAGATAAAAATAAAAAATAAAATTTATGAAAAAAAGTATAAAATGAGAAGATTTGAATAAGAAATAAGACAAATAAAAATAGTTCATTCATTCCTCATTCTGATTTAAAAGCCAAGGAATAAAAGTGGGTTTTCAGATGGGTTTAGAAGCAGTTACAGCAAAGTCCGACCTCCTCTGTGCTGTAATGTGGACCTCAGCACAGCTGGGAGCATTTGATCCGCAGACCTCGTTAACCTTGTGAACCCGTTCAAAAGATCAGAAAGGTCTGAGGGTGCTAACCCATGTAACGCCTTAAAGACGGATAATAACATTTTAACATCCATTTGAAAAGTGACTGGCAGCCAGTGTGAGGATGCTACAATCTGATGACAGACTGACACCTGAGTAAAGACTATTACAAAAGTCTTTACTCAGGTGATTAGTTTGAAATGTTTGAAATGTAGCATTTATGGTCAAAACTACAGTGACTGTAGTTTTTGAACCCTGCCCTGCGTTTGCACGAACAGCGTGTGCAGACGTGTCCAGACGTGTCCAGCATGTAAACAGACGTCTTCTTCCTCTCTTCACTCTCAGAACTTCGTTGATATAAATGAGGTTAAACCACATTAGAGGCACTCTGTACGTGCTGTTTGCAGTGAGCGACTGTGTTTGTGTCGCAGCAGGATGTGAGCGAGCTCTGAAAACATGCAAACATGAAATCTCCAACAGCCACTCCAGTAAACACACTCGGCCTGTGATTCGGTGAACGTGCGTGTTTGACTCGTTGCAGGTGTTGTTGTGATGTTGTGCAGCTGCTCACATATGGCACACCTGCTCCGTGCATACACATCGTCATGCATGAATGCCAAAACACGCAGACATGAGTGGAAGTAAACATTGTAATAGCGCCCAG